TTCGGTGCCAGGGATCGAACTTGTGACCTTGCACCATAATCACTGAGCTAAATCCCTGGCCTGTGCTGCATTTTTTGATGATGTGGGAATTGCCCTGTTTAATCATAAATGGAAAAGAGAAGTAAGATTATTACAATGACTAGAATAGACATAACCAGAGCATGGAATACATAACTAATGTTATAGGGCTATTCCAAAGATTGCTGCTGGCTTATATAAATTATGATTAAGTTAATTCAAGAGCTTGCCAGTTTTTCCCTTGTGAAGATGGTCAGACTGTGATAGGAATATAATAATTTAGTGAATCCAAAATGAGATCTCGGTTTAATCTAGAGTACAACTATTTCACAGAATATTTCTATATTTTTTCTTTTGTTGTAGTTGCTATTTTAATTCTCTAGCATTGCCTATATTTTGGTATTAATATGAGGGCATTCAGGAGTGTTTTATTATTGTTTGCAGTGAGGTCATTTAGAATTCTGTTTGTTTGTTTGTTTGTTTGTTTTTGGTACCAGGGATCAAACTTGGGACCTTGCACTTTGGCGGCAGGCACCAGAACCACTGAGCTAAATCCCCAGCCCCGGTCATTTAGAATTCTTACACTAAACTCTGTGTCTGCTGTATGCTATAGAATCCATGGATGGAATCAAAATTTATCAATTCAGCTTAAATTGGAATAGTAAATAGCCTCATTCTTAAATTTTGCAGAATATAAAAGAAGGGGCTAAATCCTGACTAGCACTGTGTCACCATTACTTAAGATTTATTTATAAAAGTCACATTTATTTTCTTAATCTTATTTTTGTCCCCTGTGTTGAGTCTTGAACCCAGGGCCTCATGTGTGCTAGGCAAGTTCTATACCAGTGAACCACACTCCCAGCCCCTGTGTAAGTTATTTTTATCATTACTATGTTTTTTACCTTTATTATCTTATGTAATATGTATTTTTCTAAGATACAGAGAGAGTGATAGTAAACAAAAGTATGAAAATTGAAATCCTTTCACATTTGTTGGGTCTTACTCCCTGTTTGTAACCGCTTTGGGCTGGCTGGGAGTGGCAGCCAGCTCTCCCACTGCCTTGCCTGCCTTTGAGCAGCTGTCCAGCCTGACAGCACTGGCTGACTTGGAGGCTGCAGATGTGGTGGCACAAAATTCTGTCTTCTCTCATTCTGTTGACACCTGTTTACTCCCCCACCATGCGTCCCATAGCCTGGGTTTGTCATCAGGGCATTTTTTGGCGTTATAGTGTGATGTCAGTCAGTATGAGGTATTCTCTCTGTTATTACAGATGCAGTGATCAGAACCAAAACAAAGCCAGAATCAGTTACTCTCATCAGGGAGCTCCTAGTCTAGGAGAACCTTTAGGTATAAAGCAAAATTCCAGTTGACCCGCAAGTCTGTTTTTATTTTAATTTTTTAATTTTTTTTCTCATTAAACTTTATTTTAATGGGTCTCAAAATTCTGTGACAGATTTTTGCTCAAGTTGTTTCCATTAAAACGTGATTTTAAAAGCTAATAACTTAAAACTGTCACACACAAAAAGAAAACAAATGGTCCACAAAACACATTCTCCTTTCCTCCTGAAGGTTTTATGATGCATTGTTATCATTAACCAGTCTTTTACTATTAAACTTAAATGGCCAATTGGGAGAAACAGTTCTGAGACCGGTCTTCCACCACTGATTAAGACTGGGGTGGCAGGTGTTGGGGTGATATTGATTTAGCCTTCTGAGCTTTCTGGGCAGACTTGGTGACCTTGCCGGCTCCAGCAGCCTTCTTGTCCATTGCTTTGATGACACCCACAGCAACTGTCTGTCTCATATTGCGAACAGCAAAACGACCCAGAGGTGGATAGTCAGAGAAGCTCTCGACACACATGGGCTTGCCTGGAACCATGTCAATGATGGCAGCATCACCAGATTTCAAGAATTTGGGGCCATCTTCCAGCTTCTTACCAGACCGGCGATCAATCGTTTCTTTCAGCTCAGCAAACTTGCAAGCGATGTGAGCTGTATGGCAATCCAGTACAGGAGCACAGCCAGCACTGATCTGGCCTGGATGGTTCAGGATAATCACCTGAGCCGTGAAACCAGCTGCTTCCGTTGGTGGGTCATTTTTGCTGTCACCAGCAACATTGCCACGATGAACATCTTTGACAGACACGTTCTTGATGTTGAAGCCCACATTGTCACTGGGAAGAGCTTCACTCAGAGCCTCATGGTGCATTTCAACAGACTTTACTTCAGTTGACTGGTGCGAAGGTGACCACCCTGCCAGGTTTGAGAACATCAGTCTGCACTCTGCCCACAGGGACTGTACCGATACCACCAATTTTGTAGACATCCTGGAGGGGCAGCCGCAAAGGCTTGTCAATTGGGTGAGTGGGTGGCAGGATGCAATCCAAAGCTTCAAGCAGTATGGTTCCACTGGCATTGCCGTCTTTACGAGTGACCATCCCTTGAACCAAGGCATGTTAGCACTTGGCTCCAGCATGTTGTCACCATTCCAACCAGAAATTGGCACAAAAGCTACTGTGTCAGGGTTGTAGCCAATTTTCTTTTTTTTTTTCTTGGTACCAGGGATTGAACTCGGGACCTTGCACTTTCAAGGCAGGCAGCAGAACCACTGAGCTAAATCACCGGCCCATATAGCCAATTTTCTTAATGTAGGTGCTGACTTCCTTAACAATTTCCTCGTATCTCTTCTGGCTGTAGGGTAGCTCAGTGGAATCCATTTTGTTAACACCAACAATGAGTTGTTTCACACCCAGCGTGTAAGCCAGAAGGGCATGCTCATGGGTCTGCCTGTTCTTGGAGATACCAGCTTCGAATTCACCAACACCAGCAGCAACAATCAGGACAGCACAATCAGCCTGAGATGTGCCTGTAATCATGTCTTTGATAAAGTCTCTGTGTCCTGGAGCATCAGTGATAGTCGCATAATACTTGCTGGTCTCAAATTTCCACAGTAAGATGTCAATGGTGATAACACACTCAAGCTCGGCTTTCAGTTTATCCAAGACCCAGGCGTACTTGAAAGAACCCTTCCCCATCTCAGCAGCCTCCTTCTCAAATTTTTCAATGGTTCTTTTGTCAATGCCACCACATTTGTAGATCAGATGGCCAGTAGTGGTGGACTTGCCTGAATCCACATGTCCGATGACGACGATATTGATGAGTCTTTTCCTTTCCCTTGTTGGCTTTGATTTAGTGGTGGTTTTCATTACACCTGTGCTCTTGAGGCAAACCCGTTCCGAAAAAAGCAAGTCTGTTTTTAATTAGTATCCTCTGTCATGTTATCAGTCCTGCCTACAATGGTTATACCTTTTTGTGAGGTATTCTAAAACAAAGCATCCTGCATTCTAGTGTCTTTCTTTGGCCCTCACCTCCTGTTTGAGTTTTCTTTCTGTTAATGCCACTCTATTGGTACAGCTCACAAAAATCAACCTTGTACAACCCCTGTGTTGCTGGCATTCCTGAATCTTCTCCCTTTGGTCTGTTGCCACTGTCACCTTTCAGCCCCTCATTACTTCCAGGTGGAACTCTTAGAAGAGTTTGATACTTCTGACTTGATTAGTTATCTCTGTAGAGCAAATCAGGTATCACTGGTAAGTATGACGTTTGAAATTTTGTTCTGATGTTGTTAACTCCCTTACTGAAAAACCAGGGCTTCTCATTACCTCCAAATAAAATCTGTTCAGAAAATCAATATACAGTGAGTTGGGCATGGTGGTATGTGCCTGTAATCCTAGCTGCTTGGGAAGTTGAGGCAGGACGATTTAAGGCCACCCTGGGCAACTTATTGAGATCCTGTCTTTAAAAAAAAATTAAAAGAAAAGAAAATCTATGTAGAATCTTCAATAACATGTTCAGATCGTGATCTCTTCTCATTCCCTTTATTGTCCTTCAGACAAAATGTGTTGTTTTTTTCTCTGTCCCTTTTTTTTGGTGCTGGGGATCGAATTCGGGTCCTTGTGCTTGTAGGGCAGGCAGTGGAATCACTGAGCTAAATCCCTGGCCCTCTCTGTCCCATTTTTAGTATTTTTTTTTTTTTTGGTACCGGGGATCGAACTCGGAACCTTGCGCTTTCGAGGCAGGTGCTGGAACCACTGAGCTAAATCCTCAGCCCTCTGTCCCATTTTTAATATCTCATGACTGTGTTCATAGTTTCATTTTTAAGTCCTCTTCTCATGCCAGTATATTGATACCCTTCAGTTTTTGTTTTTCTTTTTTGGTGGTACTGGAGAATGAACCCTGGGACTTACACGTTCTAGGCAAGTGCTGTAATGCTAAGCTACATTCCTAGCCCTTTTTTTTTTTTTTTTTTGAGAAAGGACCTGCCTGAATTGCCCAGTGTGGCTTTGAACTTTTGATTCTCCTGCATCCTTCTTGTGCATCTGGGATTACAGGAGTGCAGCGTCATGCCAGGTTCATACCCATCAATTCTTAGCAGAAATGCTACTACCTCCTTCATGACGTTGTTTCCTAGTTAGCCTGAAATCATTTCTCTATAATCTTTGGATTCTTACAACCATATTTATAACACTTCTTTGACATCGTCTTTGTATCACATACATTGATACCTACATTTTACCGTAGTCCAGGTGTTTTGTGGCAGGGGTGCTATTTCATTTTCTTAGTCCTTAGCCTGAGCTTGGTGCCTCACTCGCACAGGTGCTCAGGACGTGCGAGCTAACATGGATGCCCCGTGGTTGGTTGGTTGTATTTTTTTATTTCTTCGCGGTAGCGGGGAACTCAGGACCTTGGACTTTTGAGGCAGGTGCAGTGCCACTGAGCTAAATCCCCAGCCCACGTTTGTTGTATTATCATCAGTGATCACTTTACCAGGTGTTGTACATTTGCTGTCTGAAAGAATATACCAAACTATGACTGTTTATCTTACATTGAAGTATTTCCAGTACCGTGGAGACCATAGTCATCAGCTGTCAGTGACAGTGTGCTTTGTGTAACAGTGTTCCATTTCCTTTATTCTTGGGCAGGAGAATCAGATGAGAGGGAACAGTCGAAATTGGAGGTGAAAGTTTGGGATCCAAATAGCCCACTTACAGATCGACAGATTGACCAGTTTTTAGTTGTAGCACGGTAAGTATGGAATTAGTGAATCAAGAAATATCTTTTCTTTTTATGATACAATTTATAGGTATATGTATTTTCCATTCTTTGTAGTCTGTCCTGCTTTGGTTATATATTATTCTTTTTCTAGTTATATAAGAAAGCTTAATACTGTATATATCACATCACCTCCTAAAAGTACATACAATTTGTTATTAATATCATTATATCGTTTTTTGGTGTTTTTTTGTTTTTTTTTTGGTACCAGGGATTGAACTCAGGTCCTTGGGTTTGCGAACGAGGCAGGCGGCAGAACGACTGAGCTAAATCCCCAGCCCCATTATATCAGTTTTTAATGAAAATAGATTTCAATTTTACTGAATAATGAGGACAACAGAAATTTTTTTGCTTTGTAGTTCAGGCTGACCTTGAATTCACTATGTATCCTAGGCTGGCATTTGAACTCACAGCAATCCTCCTGCCTCAGCCTTCTGAGTTGTTTTGAGGCAGAGTCTCACCAAGCAGCTAGGTTGGCCTTGAACTTATGTAGCCCAGCCTGGCCTTGAATTCACAATGTTTTTGCTTCTGCCTTCTGAAAAGAGAAACGTATAATGAAGAAATTCAGCATCTCAAATTCCATGTATTTAATGATTTCTTTTATGCTGGACAGGGCTTTCCTAGACTGGATCATTCAAGAAATAGCAGAAATGTGCAGATCAGGTTCTTCTTGCTGCCTGTACACATACATAAGGCCTCTTGCTAAGCCTGGGACTTTCCTTTAAGAGCTTTCAGCCTGGCTAGCCTACTTCATCCCTCTTTGCTTCAGAAAATGAATGAGGCAGAATTTTATTTTCTGCAGATTTAGGAATAAAAATGAACTGGAGGTGGAACCCCTGGGCTAGAGACTCCATAAAAGGTTTCTGAATTATAGATTGTTTAGGAGATATTGAAGTTTTCAAATTTAATTTGCATTCTTTTTTTTTTTTTTTTGGTACCCAGGATTGAACTCAGGACCTTGCGCTTGGTGAGGCAGGCCTGGCGCCACTGAGCTAAAACCCTGGCCTTTCTCCTTTTTCTGATTGCCAAGGACTATATATTTTCTTTTTCCTTGAAGCTAGAATGAGGGTTAGTAAGGAATATATCTAGTATCTTTTTTTCCTCCCAATATTTGTTTTAAAAAATAATCTTGTAAATATAAATTAAGGCCAATTTTGTTTTGTTTTTTTGAGACACGGTCTTAGTTTGTAGTTCACGCTGGTTTTGAACTCACTATGTAGCCCAGGCTGGCCTTGAACTTACAGTAATCCTCCTGCCTCAGCCTCCTGAGTGCTGGGACTACAGGTGTGCACCACCATGCCCGGCTTGGCCCCCCACCTCCATTAAGTTTATTGGTACATTTTAGGTGTACGGTACAGTTACATTCCTCATTGAGATCTTGTACCTTTACATGATGCATCTTGGTTCTTATTTTTTCCCCTTCCCCTGGCGTCCTTTCACCCCCTCCACCCTTCCCTATTTACAAAGACTTTGTTTCCATTTTTTCCTTTTCTCATATTTTTTCCTTTCCCTTCTTTTCTTTCCCCTACCCCCTCCCACTTCCTCTCCTCCTTTAGACCTTTTCTTCTTATTTCACAATGTCAATTACACTTTTTGATCCTTATTTACACTTTTAGTTTTTCACACCAGAGAAACTATTTGGTATTTACACAAGTGTGTCCTATTTATTTCACTTAAGAGTATGGCCTCAATGTACATCCACTTAGCTATAAATGTCTCTAGTTTCTCATTCTTTATGGCTGAGAAGTACTCCATTTCATAAAAAAGAAAAACCCACATCTTCTTTATCCAGTCTCCAGTTGATGGACTGTTTCCAAGTTTTAGCTATTACAAACTGTGCGGCAATAAACATGGGTGTTGTTTTTGTTTTTTGAGACAGGGTCTCACTTTTTAGTTCAGGTGGCTTGAACTCACTATGTAGCCCAAGCTAGACTTGAATGCCTGGAGATTCTCCTGCCTCAGCCTCCTGAGTGTTGGGATCACAGACCCATGCCACCACACCTGGCCAAGTATTTATTGATTGACTGTTGGGTGTGTTTTTTTTTTTTTGTACCAGGGATTGAACTCAGGACTTTCCATTTTCGAGGCGGGTGGTGGAACCACTGAGCTAAATCCCCTACCCTGATTGTTGGTTTTTTGATAGAGTCTTGCTATATAATTCAGGCCAGCCTTGAACTATGTATCCCAGACCTGCCACTTCTAAATTTACACTCGGCAGAAATGCATACATCTGTGTGCACCAGAAGATACGTACTCAGATGGCATTAGTGGCATTATTCAGTGTCTAAACAGCATGTAATCAGCAGTGTAGGAGGGGGTGGAGAGTGGGGATCCGAAAGAATCCTCCATAGCAAGGAAAGTGAATGAATACAGCTCCATTTGACAACATGGATAACTCTGCAAACATAATTTTAAGCTAAGGAAGCTGAACATTAAAAAAAGTATCTACATTGTGTGAGCAAAACTAATATGTGGTGTCAGAATCCAGAGTAGTGGTTCCTGTTGGGAAGGAAGGGGGAGAGTAGGAATTGCAAAGGAGCATGAGAGTGTTCTGGGGCTGCTTGCCTACAGGAATCTGTTTCTAGGCTTGGATGTTGGCCACCTGAGTGCACTCACTTTGTGATAACTGAACTGTACATTGTGGTAATTTTGGGGGTATGTGTTATTTTAATTAAAGTGCCAAAGACACCTTTTCAGCTAAAATGCAAACAGTAAACAGTGAGTCTTCACGTGCTGCAATTCTTGAGGTTATGGTGCTGCTCTGCATTACAGCAAGGCCTTCCAAATTGTTACAAGTGAAAATGAATGTTGTGGAATTCGCCTTCCCTTTTAAAATGGGATTTAATAGAAGTCTATTATATATTGAGTTCTCATAGGAAGGGATTGCTAGTTAATATTATGTTGTGCTAAGGAAAAAAGAATTGTTGGGGTTTCATGATGTGGGAAAAAGGGGGTCATGATTTGCAATTTTTGAGCAAATTTGATACTGAAAGATTTACTCAGTGGTTTTTTTTTTCTTTTTCTCAGTGTTTTTTTTTTGTTACGGGGATTGAACTCAGGACCTTGTGCATGCCAGGCAGGCGCGGCACCACTGAGCTACATGGCCACTCTGGCCCCTCAGTGGCATTTTATAATAGATCCTCTCTTCCTCCTTTAAGTCCACACAGGTTACTTTTTTCTTGATTTAGTTATAATTACCTCTAACAGTAGTAAATTGACTTGTCAGTTACAGGATAGATAGTGTCTCTTATCCAAAATGCTTAGAACAAAAAGTGTTTCAGATTTCAATTTTTGGATTTTGGAGTATTTGCATATATATAAGGAGATACCTTGGGGATGGGTCCCAACTGTAAATAAGAAAAATGTTTATGTTTCACGTATACCTTATTCATGTAGCTGAAGGTAACGTTTTGCAATGTTTTCAGTAATTTTTTACATGAAACAAAGCTTCAGAATGTGGAATTTTCCACTTGCATACTATCAGCAGAGGTTTAGGTTTTGGAACACTTTTGATTTTCAAAATATAGTTGTTCAACCCATATCAAATCTTACAGATAGAATACTTTTCATTTGATTCTCAAACATCCAACAACTTGTTTTCTCTTTCACAATTTTTCATTCAGTGCTCAGATTTGTTTTTTAAAACAAAAAAATCAGAAGTATAATGTTTCCTCTTTGTGTTTGGCTTCTACAGTGCCGTTGGGACATTTGCTCGAGCTCTCGATTGCAGCAGCTCTGTGAGGCAGCCAAGCTTGCACATGAGCGCAGCTGCTGCTTCCCGAGACATCACCTTGGTAAGATGCTTTTTGAAATTTGAGGTTTTGGTTTTGCTACTTGTTTAATTAGAAAACCATTATGCCTGGGTGTGGCAGATGAGGCAGGAGGATCACCACGAGTTCAAGGCCAGCTTGTGCTACATAGAGAGTTCAGGGCCAGCCTGGAAAACATAAAGAGATCTTCTCTCCCCCCCCCCCCAAAAAAAAAAGAGAAAGAAAGAATGAACGAGCCATTATAGCAGTATTATGGATGTGAGCTCTTTCTGGCTGTTAGCCCTGATTGATTTGTGTTGGATAGTTGGTTAACTGTCACGGAGGTCACCTCTTTTTGTGAGCTGAGACAAATAAGAATGACTCTTCCATGGAGTAGGTTTAAAGGGGATAAAAGCAAATTTGGGGTGAACACAGTTCACCATTCTGACACACCTGCTGTCACATTATGCTTGTTTTCTGTTACATCTATATACTCAATTAAGTCATCATGTCTTACTTTTTGTTTGTTTTTGCTTTTTTCTTTTGGTACTGGGGATCGAACTCGGGACCTTGCGCTTACAAGGCAGGCAGCAGAACCACTGAACTAAATCCCTGGCCCCTTTTTTTTTTTATGTCCAAGCAATCACATCTTGAAACTATTGCTGTTGTATGTGTTTTACCATACATCAGTGTTTAAAATGTCAATATTTAAAGTTTTGTGTGTTTACATTAGAAACAGACTCTTATTTCTTAGTTGGTTGCATTGTGGTTGTATTCTAAATCTGTTTACTTTTTCCCTTGGTGGTCAGTTGAAGCTTGCTTTCCTCACTTAGGTGTACCACTCTGCCAGCTGTGCTGCACATGTGTTGGCACTTTCTTCTTTCTCGTCACTTCCAAAACAGTAAACCTGTGGGTCAATTGAAGTTATTTTATTTGGTCCTCATAATCTTTTCTGAGAAGCATGGTGGGGTGCTTCTTTTACAGGAAACTGAGCTTTGGTGAGGTTAAGCTGTTTGAACGGTTCTCCTTCTGTATAACAAAAGTTTAAGTTTTATTTTCTGATGGGATTGGAATACAGTGATGGGTTTTATTACTTTGTGATTATATTCTAATTTGAGTTGCTTTCCACAAAATATTGATAATGAAAAGCGCATATTCAAGTGCATATCATGGGATTTTTATATCAAATATATTGTATTTTTCAGCATATTAAAGTATATATTTTTGTACCATTACAGGTTGTGATGAAAGCATTAGTAGTCATTAGTAGCCATCATGGAACTTCTTTCTTTCTTTACTCTTTCTTAAAGACTAGAATTCTTGTTTAGTACAAAACGAAAAGTCTTGTTTGCTACATTAATACTTTATGCAGAAGTTTAAGAGTTCCAAAATAGATTTATATTTTGGTTGTTTACAGCTGGGAGGGTATGTCTCTATAGAAGCAAAAGTATAGATATCATGATTATATAAACCTTCAAAAATTGGATACTTTTATGACCTGAACTACATGGTACCTGTGTATTCAGAACTATTTTCCCCAACCCTAAAATTAATGGATCCTTATATGAATAATTGAAACATCACAGCAGCCCAGAAAAGCTTTCTTCTCATAACTGCAGTAGTATTTTCTCACCATTTTACTATGCTTCCTTTCACCTTCTTTTTATGCTTCTTTTCTTTGTTTTGGGGGGGGTTTGTTTATTTTGGTGTTTTTTTTGTTTTTGTTTTTGTGTTTTGAAACAAAGTCTTGCTGTGTTATTCAGGTTGATCTTGAACTCACTATGTAGATGAGGCTGACTTTGAACTTGCAGTGATTGTCCTACCTCCGCCTCCCGAGTGCTGGGATTACAGGCGTGCACCACCACAGCTGGCTTTCTTTTTATGCATTGTAAACGGTAATATAGTAATAGCACATTACAGAGTAGGACTGAGGATACTGTAATAAAACTGCATATAATGCCACCTCAAACAAATACTAATATTTTCGTTCTTCAGATAAAAATTTTTTCAACTATTATAGTTAAATGTTGAAGTCCTTAGTATTCTTTGAATCCGAATCCAAATCTTTCATCTGTACCTCTTGTTAAGTATAATCCCCCTGCCTCCTGTTAAGAGGTAGCTGCTCTAAAAAAATCTGTACGTGTCTAGTTTGTGTTTTTTGTAATTCTGCTATGTAGTTATGTATATTTCCAGAAATATTTTTTTTGCATGTGCTTAAATTTATTGTGTAACATTTTGCCCTTTACCTATTACTGACATCTAGCCACATTAATACGTACACACCCAGTTCATTCATTTTAACTGCTTTGTAATATTTGTGTGTTCTTTCATATTATATTGTACCACATTGTGTGCACACGCATGCGTGTGTGAGTGTTACTAGGAATTGAACCCAGGGACCCACACATACTAGGTCAAGTGGCTACTTCACTGAGTATATCCACCAGTCCTTTAAAAACTTTGACGACCGGACCTTGCTAAGTTTCCCCAGGCTGGCCTCAAACTTTTGTTCCTTTTGCCTTAGTCTCCTGAGTAGCTGGGATTATAGGAGTACCTCACTATGCCTTTCTTACTATTTTTAAGAGATGAAATCTTGCTTTGCTGCCCACATTAGGGTGGCCCCAAAATCCTGGGCTCATGTAATCTTTCTGCCTTAGCCTTCCAAGTAGCTGGGACTATAGGCCTGACTCACTGTGCCTGGCTCACATTATTTATATATTCTGTTATGAATACCAGAGTATTTTATGTACATTTTTTCCCCCCTCTTGGTACCTGCCAGGTAGATGCAGTGCCACTGAGCTACATCCCCGGCCCTATGTTAATGTTCTTTTTTTGTTACTCATAAGGCTGCATTGAAAATTTTAATACCCCCCTTTGTAATCATGTGTGTCAGTATTCTAGCCTTTGAATAGTAATTCATTGTGTTGATCATTTATGATTTGACCATGTGTAGCCAAATTATTTTGTACAGAATAGTAGAGATTTATAATCCCATGAGCAGTTACTGAGTGATCGCTCCATCCGTGTGTGTGTGTGTGTGTTGCTGATAATTGAACCTAGGACATTGAACATGCTAAGTGTGTACTCTCCCTCCCACTGAGTCATACCTGCAGTCCTGTGTTCTACATTCCTCATCCATTTCCTTACATTAACTTCTTGGTATTTTTAGACTTTGTTTTTGTTGTTGTTTATTTGTTTTTCCTTTTTGCTATGTAGTTTGGGCTGGCTTTGAACTTAGTATATGTGCTGCCGAAGCAAGCACTGGCTTTGAACTTAGTATCCCAGGCTGGCCTCAAACTCATTGTAATCCTCTTGCCTCAGCTTCCCAAGTGCTGGGATTTCAGGTATCCACCACCATATCTGGCTGGTATCTTTAGATTTTAAATGCTTGCTAATGTAATGCTTTCTTGTTTTAATTTGTTTCCCTGATTACTTAATGAGTTAAGCATATTTTCAGTTGTTTACTGGCTTAGGGTTTTTCATTGTATTTTAGATGCATAGCCTTTGTCCATTCTCATTACTTTAAAGGTGATTTTTTTTTTCTTTTGCTTACAATGACAGAAATCTGTTGCAGAATTCTGGATGTCAAAAATTCAAATTCAAGGGCGGGGGATTTATGCTTAGTGGTTCCACTTCCTGCCTCGCAAGCACAAGGTCCCGAGTTTGATCCCCGGTACCAAAAAAAATTAAAAAAAAAAATCAAATTCAGGCCATGAGCAAGGCTCATGAACCCCCTCTGAACCCCTGGGAGAGTAGCTTTCCTTCCTCACCTTCTGATAGATAGGCTGCCGGCGTTTTTGAGTCTTCCTTGGCTTGTAGCTACATAATCCAGTCTCTGCTTTCAGGGCTGCTTGAAGTTCTGGCTGTGTCCTATTTTTCCTAATAGTTTAAAATTATTTTTCATATTTAAGATTATAATTACATTTAGAGTGTCTTTTTATGAGTGAAGTATGGATCTAATTTTTCCCCATATGTTAAACTAATTCCAACACCTTTTATTGAATTTGTTGTTTCTTCATGATTTGTAATTCTCCTTGTATTATATTTCAAGGTTTTTAGATATATAGGCCTGCTTCTGGGCTCCCAGTATATTCTCTTCTGTTTTGTTGATCTACTTGTTACTCAGAAAACAACACCACATCATAATAAACTTCAATGACTGATGAGCCAAGACTCATGTGGACTTTGTTTTTAACAGAATTGAGGTCTCTTAAAACATGGAATGTTATACTTCCTCTTCCTCCTGTATTTTCTTTAACCATATGTGAACTCATCTTCTACTCTGATGTTTTTGGAGGGTGGGCAGGAAGTGATTGTAGGGCCTTGCACATGCTTAACATATGCTCTCCTGCTGAGTTCTACATCTACTCAGCAAACATTTTTTTGGTTTTTTTAATATTTTATTGGTACATTTTAGGTATACAATATAATGACATTCACCATTGGAAATTTGCACCTTTACATAATCTCTCTTGGTTCTTATTTTTCCCCCTTCCCTGTTTTTGTTAATGTAAGAATCTAGGAGGTCATTTTTCCTAATATTGCATGTCTTCCCTTACATAGATGTAGTGTTATTTATGTAAGTGGTTCCTTGTAGTTTAATACTGTTATGAGAGGGTACTTCTCTGATGATAACAGATGCTGCCCCGTCTTAGTCCAGCTCATTCTCTCTACTCTGCTGGAGGAGTGAGTGTGGAAAAGCCTGTGCTGGAGGTACCAGGCTGTGTGACGGTGGGCTGATGGGGCTGATTTGCCTGTAGGTGGGTCTGGGGTGCCAGGCACTTTGTGGGCTCCTGGTTCACAGCTGTGATGACTCTCTTTCCCACTGCTGGTGAATGTATGGGACAGTAAGTGGATTTCTTCAGAACATGAAATTAGGACCTTGCACTTTTGAGGCAGGCGGCGGAACCACTGAGCTAAATCCCCAGCCCAGGACAGTTTTCAAGATTCAGTGTTGGTTTCTATCAGTGAGGGCTGGTTTTATATACGTACATATAACATACACATACACATATTCTCTCCCCCCCCCCATGGGGTTTCACTAT